CACCTTTCCATAGTTAAATACCCCGCAACATAAACAAATGTAGCACCTTTCCATAGTCAAAGTAATATTTCACACATTCGGTCTCTTTGTCGTCCTCAGCCCCCACTCAGTCTCTTCTCATTCTGTAGGGATCCCAACATGGGCAACTCACAGGTGCCCACCCACTGGTACCCTTATACCGTGGAGAACGGCAACTACCTGAACATCACTAAGTCGATAACTAGCACGTCCATGAAGCAGCACCTGAGAGCCAAGTTCCTGCAATACTGGGCTGTGACGTACGAGGTGCTGCCCACAGTGGCCGATGAACAGGGGACCCTCCCTCCCCCTGAGGATGACTCAGAAGCTGTCCCTGTGCCCCCTGTGGATGATTCCCAGGCTGCCCCTGTGTCCCCAACAGACGAGGCTCAGATGCCTGTCGTTATTGGCTTCTAATGTCTGGTAAGCCTTGGTCCCAGGGTCTTCCTCTTTTTAGGTTCTCCTTTCTCAATAAAGCCTTAGCTGTGCCCACCTGGTATTTGGTTTTTGTTCCTGAAACAGCCTGGAGGAAGGAGGGACCCTCAGTCGATAGCGACAGACACTTGGTTCATCCCTGCCAATCCTCAGGCTGTGGAAGTCAAAGGACTATCTTTAGTTTAGGGGCAAACACACAGCACCAGAGATGTCAAACATGGGGCTGGAGTCTCTTGTAGGCAGGAAGCAGGCACCCTGGGATCCTGGAAAATCACTCATCAGGGTCATTCTCCAGTCCTGGCCAGCATATGTGGCAGAGAGAGAGGGCCATCATGGGCACAGGCAGCTATAGGGAGCTAGAACCTGGCTCACAGGCCTCAGGAATGCTAATAGGAAGACACACACTACAGCCTTAAGCACTGCACTCTGGCTTTCCTACGCATGGTGCCAGCAGGGGATAGAACCCTGAGGCTGGTGTCTCAGGGAGTGTCTCCGTGAGAAAGGGGTTGGCCAGGGTCCTGCTTGTCTGTGGGTAATCCTCCTCCTCTCCCTCTTCTCCCCATCCCTCCTCAGACTTTTTTTGTTTGGTTTGGTTTTTGTTTTTTTGGGATAGGGTTTCTCTGTATAACATCCCTGGCTGTCCTGCCCTTTGTAGACCAGGCTAGCTTTGAACTCACAGAGATTCACCTGCCTCTGCTTCCCAAATTCTGGGATTAAAGGTGTGTGCCACCACGGGCTGGCCCCTCCTAAGACTTTTATGACTTTGAAGTCTACATGTCCCTACTGTGATTCAATAAACATTCAGGCAAGCTTCAAATGCTCCCCTTCCTCCACAGCTGTAGGAAGGCTTCCTTTTGGTTAGGAAACCACCCTTGCAAGTGGCTTTTGTTTCGAACCTAGGACTTGCTGTATTGTCCAGGCTGGTCTCGAAGCTGGGCACAAGGGCTCTTCCTGCATCAGCTTTCTAAGAACCTAGGATTATGAACTAGGATTTATAATACTATTTATATTAAATTAAATAATTGTATTTTGAGTCAAAGTTTTGCTATCTATCTCAGGCTGGTCTCCAACTCATAATCTTCCTGTCTCAGTCTCCCAAATGCTGCGATCACAGGGGTGTACTTTTGTATTCAGTCTGCAAGCATAAATTTTTTAAAAATCATTTATTTGTATTTCATGTGCATCGGTGTTTTGCCTACATGTATGACTGTGTAAGGGAGTTGGATCCCCTGGAACAGGAATTACAGACAGTTGTGAGCTGGGAATTGAACCTGGGTCCTCTGGAAGAACAGTCAGTGCTCTTAATAACTGAGCCATCTCTCAGGCTGGTAAAATCCTTAAAATTGTGATAAACAGGCCAGCAAGATGGCTGAGCAGGTAAAAGCCTGAATCCACATGAAGGTGGAAGGAGAGAACCAACTCCATGAAGTGGTCCTCTGACCCCCGGTGTGCACATACCCCCTACCCATTGAAAGATTATTTATTGTGATAGAATACATGTCTTAGGGGCTAAAGAGATGACTCAGAGGTTAAGAACACTGACTGCTTTTCAAGATCCAACACTCTCACACAGACATACATGTAGGCAAAACACCAATGCACATAAACTAATTTTTTCTTAAAAATCCATGGGCTGGAGAGATGGCTCAGAGGTTAAGATCACCGACTGCTCTTCCAAAGGTCCTGAGTTTAATTCCCAGCAACCATATGGTGACTCACAGCCATCTGTAATAAGATCTGATGCCCTCTTCTGGCCTGCAGGTGTACATGCAGGTATTGTACACATAATAAATAATAAAGAAAACATTTAAAAAATCCATGTCTTAGGCTAACTGAAGTATTTGCAGGAGAATTACACTGTTGTACCCCCAGCACCATTACTTTCTTTTGGTATTTTTTAAATTTTTTTCATTTATTTTACATATCAACCACAGTTTCCCCTCCCTCTTCTTCTTGTTCCCTCCCTCCAATTCCCATCTATCCCATCATCCACTCCTCCTCTGTTTCAGAAATAGGCAGCCCTTACATGGGAGTCAACAAAGCATGTCATATCAAGTTGAGGCATGACCAAGCTGCTGGTGCTGTATCAAGGCTGGGGAGGCATCCCTGCATGAGGAATAGGTTCCGGAAAGCAAGCTCACGCAGCAGGGACAGACTCTGGTCCCATTGCAGGGGTCCCACAAACAGACCGAGCTACACAACTGTCATTCATGTGTGGAGGGTTTAGGTTGGTCCCATGCAGGCTCCCTAGCTGTCAGTCTAGAGTCCGTGAGCTCCCATTAGCTCAGGTCCGCTGCCTCTGTGGTTTCGCTGTCATGGTCTCAACCCCATCTTGCTCATATAATCCCTCCTCCCTCTCATCAGCCGGATTCCTGGAGTTCAGCCCAATGCTTGGCTGTGAATCTCTACATCTGCTTCTATCAATTACTGGAAGAAGGCTCCACTATGACAATTAGGGTAGTCTCCAGTCTGATTAAAGGGGAAGGCCAGTTCAGGCACCCTCTCCACTATTGCTTGGAGTCTTAGCTGGGGGTCATCCTTGGAGATTCCTGGGAATTTCCTGGCACCAGGTTTCTCCCTATCCCCCCAAATGGCCCCCTCTATCAAGATCTCTTTCACTACTCTCCTCCTCCGTACCAGCCCCAACTTGATCAACCAGATCCCTCATGTGTGTGTGAGTGTGTTACCCAGGAGATCTCACCTATTCCCCTTCCCAGGGAAATCCACGTGTCCCTCTAGGGTCCTCTTTGTTACCTAGCTTCTCTGGAGCTATACCACTGCCTATTTCCCAAACTCTTTATCACCCCAGACAGAAAGAAACTCTGGTTCCACTCGACATTGGCTCTCCACTCTCCTTCCCAGCCCCTTGTGACATGTCATTTCACACGCCCTGAAGGTCTGTCTATGTGCTCCCCGCCCTGCCTGCTGCTGGTGCTCCAGGACCTTAAGCACTCCTCTGATTGTTGCAAAGTTGGTAGCAATGCACTCACTTTCAAATTTGAATGTGGGTCCTTTATTTAAATTCTTGGCTGATTTAACTAAAGGTTTGTCAATTTTGCTTATCTTTTCAAAGAACCTGATTCTCTTTTCTATTCATCTGCTACATGTTTTCCACCATTTTTGTGTGTGGAGCACGCATATTTGTGTATGATCGGGGTGTGCATGTGGAGGCCCAAGGTTGATGTCAGTAAGCATCCTGGGTTTTCTTCTGTAGTCTCAGGGCCTTTCCTCGCGGTAGACGAGATGATTTACTTCAGTGTGTTTGAGGTTTTCCCTGCACGTGTCTAGGAGGCCAGAAGAGGGCGCCAGGTTGCCTAGAAGTACAGGTGGTGGTGAGCCGCCTGCAGGGAACCAAATCTACATCCTTTATAAGACCAACAAACGCGGCAGACAAGTTGCTGACCCCCGTGCTCTCTCCAGACTCTGTTTAAAATGACGTGGATTTCTTCCTTTATTTTGCGTGTGTGTGTGTGCATATGAGCACATGGTGTTTGTGAAGACCAGAGGACGACTTACAGGAGTTGTTTTTTTTTTTTTTTATGAAAATAAGCTTTATTACATCAAGTAATAAATACAAAGATGCAACAGTTGCAGTCGTTTTCTTCCAGATGTTGTGACCGTCTCACAGTAAACACGGAACTGAGATCCACAGTCTCAGGATGGACATTTACAGGGCGCGCGGCAGGTTGGGTAGATTGCTCTTTCTGCTGTAGTTGGTTCTTTTGCCACCACGTGGGTCCCAGGGACTTGGGTTGTCAGGCTCAGAGGCAAGTGTTTTTACCTGCTGAGCCATCTTGCTGGCTCACACTCATAATCTGCTCTCTCTCTCTCTCTCTCTCTCTCTCTCTCTCTCTCTCTCTCTCTTTAGTTTATTGAGACAGAGTTTATGTCGTTTTGGTTTTTGTTTTTCAA